CTTGATCTTGCTGTACAAGCAATCACGGAGAGCTGTTTTGGATGGAATGTCCTCTGGTCTCATCCGTCCCAGAACTTCCAACCACGTCTGCTTGAACGTATGAAGCTTGTTGTCGCCTTGGTACTGGAGCTTCACCAAATACTCAAGAGTGATGATCATGTCAAGACGATCATGCGTTCGAAAACTTTCATACATCATCGCAATGACTTGTCGTCCTTTGATGATCTTCACGTCAGGCCTGCTGATGTAATCGTTAGCCTTCCGGTTCACCTCAAGGTACAGGTCAGCTGATTTGTCACCACCGGCACGTAGCATTGCGACCATGGCGATCCCCAATTTGACGTCTATGCTCTTGAACTTCTTGTGTCCTGAATCATTCAATGCTTCGACATCAGGGAATGGGTTGAACGCTGGTGCCAGCCATAACATCCAGTCCTCATGATGTGGGTCGGCTGATGCCCCTAAGACATTGGCCGTGCACACGGATCGCCAGTTGTTGAGATGAGTGAGAGTAGGCCATGGAGGAACGGTCACTTTGTCGGCTTCCCTCCTGGAAATTCTCACCTCTGTGACTTCAGGATCCGCATCTCCATCAGGATCACGTGCATGCGAGCCAGGATCCGATTCAGGTTTGCCTCCACCGCTTTTCTTCTTATCATCATCATCGTCAGGCGGGTCAGGAGGATCATACCCCGTGCCGGTTCCTTCATCGTGCTCTCCATCTTCGTTCTCGTCGCCACCCTCGTCACCGTCACCGTCTCCATTATCCTCCTGAATCGTTTCAGCGAATAACCTCCATTCATCACGATCAGCTCTGAGACGTTGCTCGGCTTTCTGGGCCTTGAGTACTTCGCTTCGCAGATCGGCAATCTTCTCCTCGTACCGTTCCGCGACCTCTTTCTCGATCTGACGTCTTCTTGCTTCATGAATGGAATCGTCATAGGCAATAGGGGGACCGATGAGGTCGTTACCCTTCGTAGATGCGGTAACACCGTCGATACCAACAGGTCTTGAGGAGCTGGCCGATGCTGTGGACTTCGATCCCAACATCCCGCGATCCCCCAAGAGTTCGCGTAGCTGTCGATCACGCACGACTGCCGCATCACTTTTCCCATGAAATCCGCTCGGTATGCCGAACAAAGTGGCTGCACCAGGCGTGGAACGCGCAAGTGCTGGGCTGCTAACACCTGGCACGTAGTGCTCGGGCATTGCATCCGCCACGATTGGCATTGAACTGCGGCCAGTGAAGAAGTTTCCACCGGCGAATGGAATTCCATCCATCACAAGGTTCTTGTCCTTGTCTGATTCCGAGAATGCGAACTTCTCTTTGGCGACTGGACTAACTTGACTTGGGGACCGTATTTCAGGGGATCGTACCTCATCTCCTACGGAAAATGCAGGCATTACTTCCTTTCCTACGTGCTCCCAGCCAGACTCAGTAGTCCTCGAAGACATGGGCATGCTCGAAGGTCGTGTCGCTCCTCCGTGATTGGAGTTTCGCGCTGCCTCCAATTCGCTGCGTGTCCTCGCTTGAAGATCTTCTTGTGCTTTGAGCGTTTTCCTGAGTTCACTCAACTCGTCGTGCAAGGTAGGCAATGATCGCCTTGCATGATCTTCATTCTGATGAAGTCGTTCCTCTGCTTCTTGCATCCTCTTCACAGCCATTTTGCGGTACTCTTCCTCTTCACCAAGACGTTCGCGAAGCCGAAATCGTTCTTGATCAATGGCTGCGCTGTTTCCAGCTAGCCCTTGGATCTCGTTCACAGCCCGCAACTCCTGGTTCTTGACCAAGTGGAATCGTTCCTGCATTGCTTGTAAGGCTTGTTCCGAACTTGCTGTGTTTGACCGGAGGACCAAGTTCTCTCTGGCGTGTTCATGAAGTTCATGAGTCAGACGCTCATACTCACGTGCCATAAGCTCACCATCGCCTTGCGCTCTTGCCTCCAACTGCACAAAGTTGGTGGCTGCCTCCGTGCGGAACACGTGTAGCTGTTGAGCTAACTCCTCGGCAACGGCATGTGCTTGACGTTGTTGAGCAGAGTTCTGTTCATCCATGCGAAACAAAGCTGTTTCATAGTCTCGCTTCATCTCCTGATTGACATTGTTGATGTGCCTCATGGCTAAGCATGCATGGTCACGTTGTCGTTCCAATTCTTCAATGCGAATTCCAGATCCTTCATCTTCTTGTTGCATCTCCTTGATCTTGTCCATCAGGGTCTGGACGATTCCTTCGTATTCTTGCACCTGACTGCGATAGTACATCTGCTGTGCAAGGTTCGATGCTTCGAACTGTTGCGAAATCGTCAGTTCCTGGTAGGCATTCGGACCATCAGCTATTGCAGGCGTGGCCACGGATGACGCATCACCACGCGCAGGAATCGTATCCAGAGTCATGTCCAGATCGTCAGCATCGCGTGGTTGATTGGTAACCATCCGATTCCAAGTCATGGACTTGTCACGCCCACGAGTAGCCGAAGTCCTCGATCGTGCTGAAGAGCTTCTCGAAGATGATGGTCTTGACTTCTTTTCCAAGGTCTTGACTCCTTTGTCCTTGGCCCTGGACGTAGTCCGAGGTGCCTGAAAACCAGACGCTTCGGCCCGTCGTTCTGAAGCCTTGCCCGTCCTCGAACCTGTGGATGTCGGACGCGAAGGCGTAGATGCTCTTGGTAGACTCTTTGCTTTCCCCTTGGGAACTGCCTTTGCAATGGCAAGCGCAGAAGATTGACCTTTGTCATCTTCCGTGGAGCTATCAACGGATTGCACCACTGTGTCATCAGCTGTTGACTCACCAACGGCTGGCGCTGCCACATCGGCACCGAAAGTCATTGTCGTATCTTGGCTTGATCCTGAGTTCATTGTGGTCGTAGTAGATCAAGTAGTCGTTGCTGTAGAAAGGCAGAGCCGCGTACGGCTGATAACCTGCGTGGGGGATTGATCTCGACTTGGTTGCTGCTCTCCCCACCAGAGCTGTAATGAATGTAGGTGTGGCTGGCTAGCACTCTCCACAGACTGGACCCTGTCTCTCCCTCTTACTTCCACACGTGCAATCCTATGCAGGCAGAACCGGCGGCCGTTCCTTTTGCACTCACTGCCGGCGGCGGTTCGTCTGTGCAACGGGATAGCTCTGATTGCTCAGGATAGAAGACACATATAGCACTTAGCTATGGGCATTGACTTGAGCCAAACGTTGCGTTGGCGGTCACATAGAAAGGTAAAGATGAGGGATGCGTAGCATGCCCCCTAGAGTCGAGGGACGCGTAGCGTGCCCCCTTCTCTTGCACTTTACACGGTCTTGCTCACAGCTCTTATAGTGACACCTTAGAACTTGACAAGGCATCGCAGTCCGTTCGCAAAAAGCAAAACCCCAAAAACCTGAGCTTTAGGATGCTGTCCGTCCAAGGTTCCGAAAAAGCCCGACAATCCTCAATCACGCCGGTTATATGCCTTGAATCATGACTGGCCCTATCGCTCACTACGGAACTTTCCATAAATTACAGACGTGGCCTCAATATGAGCAACCCCAGACCCTACACCCCAAGTTTCTGAATCCAAAAGCAACCACCAGTGACCAGCCAGGGAGCATTCCAGGCGAGTGGGGCTCTTGAAGTTCGTTCGCGTCGCATCTGCATACTTCCTTCGTGGCCCAGCTTTGCAAAGAAACCAAACCTGAAGGCCTAGAACCCTGTATACCTGTATACCTCTTCTCCCAGATTCTTCAGGATTCTTCTTGGGGTCACAAGCGACAGATTCCTGAAGGGTTCGGCCTTCGGAGTCGGGGGCCTCGGGAATTCGTCAAACCCTTAAACTAATTCAAATGTTCGGAGTTTCAGAGGCTAAGGAAGGTTTCGGAGGTTTGAGGGCTTTGGGATGCAGGGTTAAGAGTGCTGGGTTTTTTGCATGCGCAGGGTCCTCAGAGTGTTGGGATAAGCGACGAAACCTGAGGATGGACAAGCTAACAGTTGAAGGACTGGTGTTCAGAAAACAGATTCCGCCTGGCCAGGGGCTAAGGACGCAGGGATTCACTGCTCTACACACTTCGAATCCTTAGCCCCTACGTTTAGGGTTTGGCAAATTTTGTTGGAGGTGAAATGCCTCGGAGTTGGTTCCGGGCTACAAAGCCCTACGCCACACACCAGCTCAAAACCCACAACCCCGAAACAAGCTTGCCTAAATAAACTTCTCAGACCCTTCGTCCCGCAAAACTGCGCAGCAAAGGAGCGGATTGATGAATTCAGGCATCTGCCCGCCATTTTTGGCAAGCTGCGCCGCATACTCCGGCAGAGCGAAGATCAACCTCTTCTCTACAAATTTTAGACGTTGCACCGCACGTTGTCTCCTTTATGTAACGCGAACTGCTCGGAAACTGCAAGATCGAACCAGGCTTCGCAATGAACTCTGAACTTAGACCCCCTGCAACCCAAAACCAAGCACCCAAAACGCCCGTGACCCTTCCAAGAGCCTGTATCATCTTGTATCAGGGTTAAATCTGCAGTCTTGAAATTCTTTATCCTTCTGGGGTTTTAGGGTTTAGGGAGTTTAGGGTTTTATGCTTTACGGTTTAGTTTTGTGGCCCTTAGGGTTTCAAGACTTCCAGCTTTGGGACTTTAAGATGCTCTCAGATTTCAGACGCAAGCTTTGGGGGTTCTGGCCTTGGCCTCCCAACGCAAGAAATCGAAGCTCTGAGCACTTCAGGGTCCCAGCGGCTCGTTGGTGTTGCCAGGGAAAGGGGACAACCCATCTGCCTGGGCTGCTGAAATAGAGTGGTGTGCCACGTGTTTCGGGTTTTTGACAAGCAAGTACAGAAGCCTTCTGGAATCTGTGGGAGCGCAGCTGAAGCACATGTCGATCGTGGTTGAAACCCACAGAAAACATCGAACGCTACACAAAAACTACATCAAACGCAGTCACATCCGCAATCTCCGACCGCAGGCAGGGCCACAAACCTCCATTCAGGCAAAAACCTAAAACACCAAAGCCTTAACCTGCTCAAGCCCGGCTGCACCGTTGACATCCCCTTCCGCATACCCATTCGCCTTCAGCAATGGCTCCTCGAATGATTCGACCGTCATGGTTGTTTGGGGGTCGCCAGCTTCAGGCCTTTGCTGGCTTCCGGGTTTAGGAGACTCCCTTCCAGGTCCCACATAATGAATTACATAAGGCTCAACTTATGCAGGGCTTGGGGTGCAGGGTCCTGGCCCTCAGGTTGAGTTCCCATGCTAAGCTATTTCAGCCCATAGACCCCCAACCATGACGCCCCAGAACAGATAAGGTGTAGGGTTTACCGTGATTGTTTCGGGTTTAGCGTGGCTTACTGTAGGGATTTATAAACATGCTTTGCGAATTCGCAGGAAGTTAATCGGAGAGTTCCACATGGATCTTAGCGGAGGCATTATTAATAAGGCTGGTTTGTACTGTCTGATTGTCACCCCTAAACCCTAAACTAAGGTGAAAACTAGAAGACAATTGGCCCGAAAGCATCATCAGCGAAGATTGTGGGGCAATGTGATAAATCCAGTGTATAGGATCGTAAAGTCACAAAGTCAAGAGTCATAGAGTCCATGTGTCATGAGTCATAAAGTCATAGAGTTGCAATGAGATAGCGTCATAGAGTCATAGTGAGATAGAGTCACAGAGTCATGGAGTCATCTATGTACCATGCACTTGACTCGATGTAGTTCACTCTATGCTCTATGTGTGGGAACGCTTAATCGAGATCCCCATAGCGTGAGGGCTCATAGCCTGACCTGGACCTCGATCGTGTCGCAGCAGTAGTAGTAGTAGTAGTAGTATCAGTAGTAGTAGGAGTAGTAGTAGTAGTAGGAGTGGCAGTATTAGTAGTAGTAGTAGTAGTAGTAGTAGTAGCCACATCCATGCTTGCTCTTTCGCAAGACAGCGTCGAAGCAAGCGATCCTTTTTCCTGCGGCGGCGACGTCGCTTGCGTTGCACACCTACCGATTAGAACACTCGAAGAGGCAAATCCCTCTCATGGATTGCGCGGGGCACCTAAAATGTGCAACTTTACCTAGCGTTTCAATGCTCGACCAAGCCAATCCCTGTGAAGGGTTCCGCGGGCACCGCAAAATGTGTAACTTCACCTCGCGTTCGAACACTCGACAACGCCAATCTGTGTGAAGGGTTGCAAAATTCATCTCAATGCTCATCAAAAATTGCAACTTTACCTCGCGTTCGAACACTCGACCACGCCAATCCCCGTGAAGGGTTGCAAAATTCATCTCAATGCTCATCAAAAATTGCAACTTTACCTCGCGTTCGAACACTCCACCACGCCAATCCCTGTGAAGGGTTGCAAAATTCAGCTCAATGCACATCAAAAAATGAAACTTTACCTCGCGTTCGAACACTCGACCACGCCAATCCCTGTGAAGGGTTGCAAAATTCATTTCAATGCTCGCGTTCGAACACTCCACCACGCCAATCCCTGCAAATTTCAGCTCAATGCACATAAAAAAATGCAACTTTACCTCGCGTTCGTGCATTCGACCATGCCAATCCCTGTGAAGGTTGCAAAATGCCAATCCCTGTGAAGGGTTGCAAAATGCAGTTGAGCTGCACCCAAACCCTGTGAAGGGTTGCGCGGCGCCGAAAAACGTGTAACTTTACCTCGCGTTTGAACGCCCGAGGAGGCGAATCCCTGTGAAGGGTTGCGCCGGACGCCTAAAATGTGTAACTTTACCTCGCGTTTGAACGCCCGAGGAGGCCAATCCCTGTGAAGGGTTGCGCCGGATGCCTAAAATGTGTAACTTTACCTCGCGTTTGGGCGCTCGAGAGTTCCAATCCCTGTGAAAGGTTGCGCCGGACGCCTAAAATGTGTAATCTTTACCTCGCGTTTGAACGCCCGAGGAGGCCAATCCCTGTGAAGGGTTGCGCCGGACGCCTAAAATGTGTAACTTTACCTCGCGTTTGAACGCCCGAGGAGGCGAATCCCTGTGGAGGGTTGCGCCGGACGCCTAAAATGTGTAACTTTACCTCGCGTTTGAACGCCCGAGGAGGCGAATCCCTGTGAATGGTTGCCGCGGGCGCCTAAAATGTGTAACTTTACCTCGCGTTTGAACGCCCGAGGAGGCGAATCCCTGTGAAGGGCTGCATTCCCGATGGACGCCGACGGTGCCACCCCCGGCTTTAGAAGAGAGATTTAGATACCGAGATGTAGAGAGTAAGGGGCATAGAGAGTCAGTCAATGAGAGTCAGTCAATAGAGAGTCAGTCATAAGTAAGTAAGTAAGTAGAGTCAGTAAGTAAGTAGAATCAAGTAAGTAAGTCAGTAAGTAGTAAGTAGTAAGTAAGTAAGTAAGTAAGTAGTAACTAGTAAGTAAGTAAGTAGTAAGTAGTAAGTAAGTAAGTAAGTCAGTAAGTATAGAGATAGCACAGAGTCAAGTAAGTAAGTCAGTTTCAAGTGCTATGAGCTTGAACAGAGATAGCATAGAGTCAAGTATCAAGTGTAGAGTCAAGTAAGGTATAGAGTCAAGTAAGTTGATTCTATGTCTGTCATCTATGTACTCATCTACCCGGCTCCGCCCGGAAGAACCCTTCGCGATGCTTTCGGGAACTAAACCCCTAACGCCTGTCCATCACCCTAAAAGCCCAAAGTTTAGGATTTAGGGTTGAGACGATGTAAGATTCAGGGTTTAGGGTTCTGCTTTCGCTGACATGTTCGGCTGTCTTGCCCTGCAACAAATATTGCGGGGTAGCATCCAGCTGGTTGTACTCGACATTCACAACAATGCTGCGGCCGTCCGTGTGAGTTAAGCCTGGGTTCCGCATGACGGAGGATCTGTGAGGGGATCGAACTTTGCTCTGCGATTGGATATGCTACGACATTCCCATGCTTGAAGCTGCTTGTGAGCCGTAGCTTGAGGCTGGCTTTAGGGGTGTCGACATTGGGCGTTTTGGCTGCGTCGGCACAGAATATGAAGATGACAAGCTGATCAGGACCAGTCCTTGCAACGCATAGGCTGCCAGGAAAATAAGCCTTTGGGGGTTTAGGGCTTGGTGTCATCTAGGGCCCGGGGCCTACTGCACAATGCAGACGGCCATGCCTCCGATTGCGTAGGTGCGGGTGAGGTGGGTTCGAATATGTCAGTTAAACGGGAGTTCCTGCAACTGGGTCTCCTTGAGCCAGAGTCATGGGTGCTTAGAGCTGTTCAAGGCTGAAGGGCTTGAGGTCCAGGGCGGGGCTAGTGGTGGTGAAAGCATCATCAAAATCAGAACAAATAAAAGCAAATCAATAACCACAAAACCCTAAACTCCTAGACCCTAACCTAAACCCCTAAGTAAGCGAAAAGAATGATCTTTTTGGAGTTCCTCCAAGCCCTCGCAGCCCGTTTCTTGAGCTGCGGCGCGGGCAATGGATCCGACGGTTTCTTTGGCCTTTCGGGGCATTGCCACGGAGTTCACCTGCCGACATCTTCAATAACGGGTCCTGAGTCCGAAGGTGTGGGTTCAGGTTCCTACTTGAACACTCCATTCGGGCCAGTAGGCTGTTCGGAGTTCAGGCATGCAGCAGCCTTCAACATGTTGAAGCGAAACCGAAGACACAGCGCTGCGCCTCCAAAGAGTGGCGAGCGGACACACCCAAAGAGCAGAGGAAGGTAGCCAGGTAGAGCGTGTTGGTGTCCTGGGTTGAGGAGAGCTTCGGAATCCAATACCGCAATCCCACCGAAACCCACCCTTTAGAGCCACAAGTCCGACCCTAAACCCTAAACCCTCAAGCATAATCCGGGAATCCCACAGCTGGGTCCTGGAAGAACAGTACCCACTTGCGGCCCTGTTCCAACCATCTCTCCACGAGCCTGGGTTCTTAAGAAGGAAGTTAACATGAAAATGATATATACGTAATATACGGCCTTTCAAAATTAGAAGAAAGTCTTGGGGTACCTTGGAGTATCATTATAATCACGAGCCCCAACGAATATTGTCGGGGATTTACAGAAACCGTTCCCGTCATAAACTTGATGTACCATGTCAATGATGTTTCCTTCTCGACTTGGTGTCCGCCTTCAAGGGCACATGCCCAGGAGCCGCGCACAGTCACACGCATCCAAGCCACAGCTGAGTAGCATCTTTGATTTTTGATGTGTCTAGCTGCCTCCCGCTACGTCACACACGGCTGAATCTGCTGAGTGCAGCAGTACATCAAAAAACTTTCCATACCTATATATATATATGTATATGGATACAGATATATATATATATATATACACATATATTTTTACATATATATTTATTTATTTATTTGTTTACTTATATTTATCTGTTATGTCTGTGTATTTATAGGCTTCGGGATCGCTCGCAGCATGGCAAACACTGATACAAACGAATGAGCGATTGTCCAAGCTCAGGCACACATGCGGCAGTAACAAGAAACATGCTAAAGTCAGAACGCGCACTGCAGGCGGCCAGGCATTTCTTTTTCATGCGGACGTATCCGTCTCAGGGGTTGAACCCATGGGACTCGTCCCATAGGACCACTGGCTCCCGGCATTAAAGATTCCTCACCCAAAGCGGGCGGGTGGGACAAAACTACAAGCTTGCAACAGCTGCAAGCAATGCTGTGGGACGTGCTCCCTCCCACCCACCTCGAACCTGTATGTTGCGGCGGGACAAGGAAGAATTCAACAACGGGTCATCTGGAAAGATGGTAGCAAAGCTGACTCACGACCGGATACAAAATCCCTGCCCGAAACCTATAAAGAGCTATTGGTTTATCAACGGCATATGTATTTCTATGTATGTCGCTTACGAAAAGTTTTGAGCAACAACATTCGTGCCACTGGGCGCAAGCGGACCCAGATCGACACAAAGTCTTGGAAGCCACTGACAGGCACAGAAGGGAAAAAGCCACGATCTTGCATTCCTAGACGAGCCGCTTGATCCAACCGCAGCATGCGCACGCAAAACCGTCCGATGGCCCCCGCCAGTGCGCGCTGTTCACGGGCAGCCCGTGCAAGAAGAAGAAGAAGAAGAGCGAGACCGCGGCGACCGCGGCTGGAAAGTCCAAGTCCGGGGCCAACTCTGCACACTCACCGAAATCCCCTCCTAAACAAAGAACGCAAAGGCGGCCGAAGCAAACGCCACTCAGAGCGGTGCAAGCCCTTGTCTGGGGATGTGTGCGTTTCACGGAAGATGGTCTGAGTACGGCCATCGGTTCTTAGAGAAAGGACGACGTGCAGTCCAGGACAGAAGCTGAGGCCCGATTGACCCTCACCGCCATCACCTTTCCGCATCTCTTTCCGTAAAGGCGCTCGGGTGGTGAGGCACTGGGGTTGACGAGGGTTTAGGCCTAGGCATGCCTAGGCTTCTCGGGCTGAGGGGTCTGGGTTGGGATTCCGAGCCCTGCCACTCCGAATAAACTTGGCCAAAGCACCCAGCCGAGTGCAGCAGAAAGTGCACGTCGCCATGACCATGAGGCTTCGTTGCAACCTGTCTTCCAAGCGTGAAAAGAGCGAGAAGTCAGAAGTAAGTACAAGCTGAAACGGTCAACTCCGAAAATCTCCAGCCCCAAACCCCAAAGTGCCCTAACTCCTGAAGCGGCCTGGAGCATACCATGCTTTTCTTCAGATATCAGTGCCGCTCACGGGTCCCTGGCTCCGTTTTGAACAAAGGACAACGATGATCTATGACATGATGCTGAGGCTCCAGGAATTGATTGGTCGGTTGCTGGTGCAAAAAATCCCAGCAGTCACCTTCATTGCGCACAGAGGTTTGACACCTGAGAACTTGCACAAGTGCTCCTGGGTCGAGGGGGGGGCTTTCTGGAAATCGGGGTCAAGGTTTCGTGTTCCTTGTTGCTCGCAGTCCATCAAAGCCCCAAGGGTCGAAGAAAGGAAGCCCGGCACTTGGGAGTTCAAAGGGAGGTGGGCCTCCACTGCTTGGGCCGTGATTCAAGGGTCTTAAAAGTCATGCCCATGGCAGCCCAGAAGAGTCTTTAGGGAAAGGATTTCTGTGCTTCCGGGACAAACCTTGGAGGTCTAGTTTTGGAATCAAGCGAGCTCACCTCATACCTATTACAGAACCGTGCAACCTTGTAAGGGCCGGCCATGCTCAGAAGCGCATCGCTGTTCGCCAGCGCCGCGACTTTCTCCTTGCTTTGGCGCTGGCGTTTAGGAGGGATCAGGATCAAGACCAGCCCGAAGACAAACACCTCGAGAAGCGAACCCTCAAGCACCGGAAAGCACGGGAAAGATATCGAATGTAGGAACCGACACTTTTGGGAGCCAGGAAGGACAACAGTGTAAACGGGAGGCTACTCAGGGTTTGATGTGGACAAGTGGGGCGCTCACTTCGCGGCTTGAGCGACTTGGCAAACTGCTTACTAACTTGGAGGCGTTCTGGGTTTAAGGACTTGCACTTGTGCTAAACCTAGGTCCTAAGCGTGCACCGTCTCGCAAGTCTCCTAAAGACCCCACCCCCCTCACGAAAACTGCAAACTCGGGCCTGCACAAGGATCGTCACCTGGTCTTCGTCCAGGCCGAAGTAGTTGTGGCCTTCGTTTCTCGGGCTTCGGATTGGTAGCCTGATTTGCAGTTTCAATCGGCTTTACAGTCGTAGTCGTAGTCTTTCTGTTCGGCTTTGGGGTCGAGGCTTAAACCCTCAAACACAACAGATTCAACGGGTCTACTCGAAACATTCAACTTGCCAATCCTTGACCCCCCGAACCCTACTGCAAACTCTAAGACATCTCTTACTCCCGCCCCCTGTCTTGGAATCTAGTGCTCTTGTACGAAGAAAGCCGCCGGGTGGGAGAGGGGTTGAAAGATAGGCAGGTAAACAGATGCACAAGGAGATACTCAGCAACTGTGAGAGAGCGAGAGAGACCGAAAGAGAGAGACAGAGAGCGTGGGAGAGAGAGAGGGAGGGAGAGAGAGAGAGAGAGAGACAGAGACAGACAAGTAAATACACAGATCAAGGAACAGATCAAGGAACCGATCTGCGGACGCATGTGCAAAGTCATGATTCCGCAGCTGCCAGACAAAAAACACTTGTTTTCATATGAGAGATTGCGGCCAGCGGCCTACTGTCGGAAGCTCCGGGCTGACGCGCAGCCGATGTGCTGCAGCTCTCTGAGCAAACAGCTGTTGTAAAAGAGATCCCTGATCTGCACAAGGGAGGGCGGGTGGGTCCGCAGAGAACTCGAGAGTATATACAGCGGCAATCAAGCTGCATCAACTTCCTGCTAAGCAGACATATGATTCCGCAGCTGCCAGACAAAAAACACTTGTTTTCATATGAGAGATTGCGGCCAGCGGCCTACTGTCGGAAGCTCCGGGCTGACGCGCAGCCGATGTGCTGCAGCTCTCTGAGCAAACAGCTGTTGTAAAAGAGATCCCAAAGTCTGTCAGCATGACGTACTGGAAAGGAAGAAAACAAACCACAACCAAAACCGGACTAAACCAAGTGGCACAGAGTTGCGATCCGGCGCTGGATGTTGTTGAGCGCGGAGTCGATGAGAACCTGTGCCCATTGCTTTGCCCAGGCAGGGGTGTAGGCTTCGGCAATTCTTGTCCAGCTGACACCTTGCGGCGATGTTCCAGCCAAATGAATGTGCGGCCTTCCGCTCCGCGAGCAGAGCTTTCCTTTTCCAGAGCACCGTGCGCAAGGCGCTTCTGAGACCGCAAACCAAGCACAGACTTTTGTGGTCTTACGCCAAGGCGCGCCGTATTGGCAGTAATCAGACACGAACTCCTGACAGCAGTGGAGCCGAAGAAGTCGCGCAACTGGAGGCGCGCAGAATAGTTTGCTGCTCCGAGGATTTTCCAAGAAGCAGGGCACCTTAGCTTGAACGCGTGCTCTGATAATCTGCGCAGAAAATTTCATGGTGGCGTTGCCGAGATGGACAGCATCGAACCGTGGACCGTGAAGGCCAGGAACTCCGTAGATGTGCTTGCCTGTCCGGACGACAGGAGTGGTGTAAGCAACTGACCAAGTGGTACACGGTGTTCCAAGCCAAGCACCAAGTACAGCCCCTGCGGCAATCCAACCCTGAAGGACTTTGCGCACAGCTGGTAAGCACACGTCCTCGAGAGGTCCTGCGCGAATGTCAAGGGTGACGACGCCAAAACCTTGCTTTCGGAGGTTATGAGCGATGGCGCCACACCCGCAAAAGATCTCGAGAAAAACTTGTCGTCTGTGAAGCGTGGCAGATTTGCAAGCTTTGTAAAATTTCGACTTCAAGTGAGAATGCACAAGATGGTCAATGTTCAGGGCCTTGGGAGGGGCTGAAAAAGCAGTCCGAGCTGGCTCGACACCTGCGGCGAGGGATGCGCCATGCATCTCTCCAACAAGTTGGCGGCTCTCAGCAGCTGCTGCTCCACAAATCCCCCGTAAAGCTGAACTGTGACGGGCACCTTGTGCACCTGTTGTTGGGCCACTGTTGCTTTCTCGTATCTCTTGACACTCGAGTCGGTTTGCCACCGGCCCCTTCGCTTTATCTCTGCCAAAGACACCCCTTCGAGCCGAAGACTGCTTGCAGCGCCGTGCCGGTTGCCATACAAAGTGGCCCCCAGCGGCTGAAGCCCCAACGCTTCTGTGGCCATCTTGAACTCGTTGGCCAACTGGGTGCATGTGAATGAGAAAAGAAGGGGAGCAGACCTTCGCCGTCGGAGCAAGGCCCCCAGTGCCGGAAGCAGGTGGTTCACTTTGTGGCTCAGCAGGACACTCTCGTTGAAGATGTTCGTCTTGCTGGGCTCGTTTGACCCTCCATCCGAAGGAGCGATGATCACTCCCCAACTTCGCATTGCGGCAAGCCGTGCTGGCTCCACAATTTGCTGAGGACGAAGGCTCGTGAGTTCCCCCGGCCGCAATAGGAGATCCCACTGTAGAAGCAGGGCCAATGCCATCTCGGCCAGACCCTTCACCAGAAAAAACCCTACGATGGCTGCGAAGGCCACGCGGGGTGTTGGCAGTCTCATCTTGGGTGGGGCCAGATTTCGAAATCCTTCTAGGGCCTGATCGTCCTCGGCAGTGTTTTTGAGCCGTGCTTGCCGTACTCTGGGAACCGATACCTGAAGCTTGCGAAAACGTACTCCGCGGCGCTTACGTCCGCCTCCTGTGCGTAGAGCTCGTTGATGTAGGCCGTCAGAAGACGGTCCCAATCCTGAGACAAATGGAAGTGTGCATGGGACCACTGTAGGAACGAGTCCACCGTGGTATTGTACCGATCCTGGGTGGCGACTCTCCTCACCTTGTGTTGCTCCAGGAAGGATGGCTCGCCCGCCAACGTGGCGGCTGTCCCACCGCTCGGTTCGGTCACGCGGCGCTTTCCACTGCGACTCGGGGCCGCGGCTTGAGCAGCTGCCTTCGGCTGCAATGTCCGTGTGGTCCACGCCATCAAAGGGAGCGGGATCTTTGACGGGGCCGCCTCGTGCATTCAGCCACGGATTGCGGGATGGCTGGTCAGCGCAGTTCCGCTCTGATGGGATCCAACGGACATGAAACTTACAGTTGCCAGCAATCGCCAAAGCACACAGCTGCCGACAAGTCGAGTTTGCTAAAGCTGAGCTGCCCCGGCCTTTACAGCACGCGAGTGCCAGGGAGAGGTTATCGATAAGTAGCAAGTAATGTTGTCCAGCACATCGGTGAGTCCTAAGGAGATGCCTCACCCCACTCAGCATGGCGCGCCCCTCAGTGCGAAGAATGTTCTCTTTGAAATTCCACGCCCCCTTAAAGAGCACATGCCACTGAGCTGCATCCAGCAACGAGGGGCATACCTCCTTGAAGTCGGTCTCAACAAGCCTGGCGCACTCATCCCGAAGAGAATCCCCGGCGCGACTTCCCACATCCAAACCCAGTGCATTGGCTCGGGCCTTGACGGCCCCTTCCACTGCGTATCTCCATTTCTCGCATGTCCTGGCAGTTTGCGCGATAAGGTGACAATCGGCCTCTCGCGAGCATACGCCATAACCCACATCACTGCTGTCAGTAGCGAGGACCGTGGAGCTCCAGGGTAAATCAATGGAAGTAGCCATTAAAGGCAACAAGGATGACGCCTGCCTGATCTCCCTTCGGACTTCGGCCCATAGACGCGGATTCGGACCTTGACTTTGAGTGTATTAGTACACTGCACTGAATACTGAGAGCGTCTCTCTCCGGATCATCATGGCAAACGTGAAGTGGCCAATGAGACGCTCGATGATCTTGGGTTCGGGCGGCTTTCGCCTGCGGCAGAGCTCGAGAGAGGCCAGCCGCAACTTCCATATCCTGGATGAAGAGAGGGACACACGCTTCTTCTCCCCATCGATAACCAACCCGAGACCTTGTACCACCGGCTGCGCCTCGCACACCTCATGTATCTCGAAACCCCATCCTTCAAGGATAGCCTTCATGTTGTCAAACGCGGTTTGCACCTGGCCGGGATCGGTTCCACTGACAAAGAAGTTGTCAACGTACTCTGCGTGCACCACCCGCTCACCGCTAACCAAGCCTGTCCAGGAGCGATCTTCGATACGGTCTTGCTCTTGTAGGCCGGCCTCGGCAGCGGCGGATTCGAGAAGTGACTGGCAGAAGTACAAGGACCAATTCCAGCCCATAGGCAAAGTGGCATATTCTGGAGTGACAAAGTCCTCGGGCCCGCAACCATGTGGCCACATACCTCGCTCCAGGAACCGGCATTTGATAGCAGGGAGGCGGAAATATTTGCGCAAATGAGAAGGCAGCTCCATACGATGAAAAGCATCAGCCACATCACCACATGCAGTGTACAGCACATCCTCCGATTGCACCTCAATGCTGGTCCAAGCTGCAGGGGTCGGCAACCGTGATGAGCGGGGTTTCCTGAAGTAAGTGTTCGCCTTACGGGTGTCCAGGATCAGCCGCAGCTTGCCGCTCTTTTTAGGAACGAAGAAAACCCCTACAGTGTGTTCATATCGACCTGGGATCAGTTGGAGCATCCGACAGTTAAAAAGGTGCGAAAGAAATCTACCCATATGTACAGGTGAATTGTTCAGCACGGGATCAATGTACGGCTTCACAGGATCACACTCGCCCACAGCTTCCGCATCGGCGATGAGCTCTGAGAGGCCATCCAGAGACAACAATCTTTGTGAATCCAGCCCCAGGTGTTCCGCTACCTTTACCGGATAGCACCCCGCAGCTGGCCATGAGACCAAGGCCTCGTTGTAACTGGCTTTCTTGTTGCACTCAATGTCCAAGGTTCCATACCCTGCCATTGAGCCGAGAAGCGCCGTAAGGGCTTCCTCGGGACGAGAAGGTGGAAGGCCCATGCTTCTGTACTGTTGTTCCAAATTGGATAACGAAGCAGCCTGGCCTCCCACCGGAGCTGGGCCAATCACCCCATCGGGTTTCCCGTATAGTTCGTTCAGTGTTTGCACACCTTCGTGTGCCCAAGCCACAGCTGCGATTCTCCTGTTAATTCGTTGCCTTGTCCCACGGCTAAGCCCGCCCTGCTGGACCCCAACCTCCGAGCCAGGAAGGCGCAAAGGCAGAAGGTCACGCTGTCTGTCCATGGCGGGTCCGCGGTGCCTCAAAACTGCGCCTGCGGTGCAAGCAAAGGGAAAACTAGTGGCCCTGAAGAGAAAGAGGAGGTGACCCGAGCCAAGGCCACCGCCCACGACCGCCGCTCAATGAGCGGCGCCTCACTTGCCCTTGTTGGCCTTGAGCAGTGCCCGTTCCTCGCGGGCTTTTCTCTGCTCTTTGTTGGCCTGAGATTCCTTATGCAGCTCCTCTCCCAACCATGTGTTCAGTGCTGGGCAAATGCAAAGGTTGCCTCGAGTGGGGTCGGTTCCAAGAAAGAAGTGGCTCTCATCGTCCACCGTCCCGCTTGACGCCGCCCCGATAATGCGCTCACGCCACCTGTACTGGATCATCTGCAACCTGCGACAAGCTAGTTCAAGCGAAGCCAACTCACCCACATTCAGCTGATCGTACTCCAAGGCCAGCTCGAGCATCTTACACAAGCTCTCATGTTCAAGAACCCCGCTGTCCGACCCTTGAAGCTTGCAGTTGACCTTCCAAGTGTTGTGCATCACCATCGGGCTGCCACCGTTCGTCACGAAGTACTGGCCAACCCACTTTGCAGTGCGAGGCCCTTTGATGGGCCAATCGGCCCAGACACTTTCGGAGGCGAGCTCAACACCGTCTCTGAGCTCCCGCCTCCTTTTGCCGTCCGTGCCATACCTCACCGCCAGGGTCCTTGCGTCATCACCTTGTCCAATGCCAATGGCACCGATCCCGGGGCCCAAGCCAGCTGGCTGGGGAGGGTCAGGCGCAGCCGGGGCCCCTTGCCTTGCATAGCCGATCAGCTCGTGATTGGCGACAAGCTCCACAAACAAGATCACTCCGTCGCTCAGTCCGGCAACTCCTTTGGACCCTGCTTGATACCCTCCGACAACTTGGGCTAAAGGCACAAGGCTTCCCCGAGCACGATGGCCCTCGCTAGCCGCGACAACCCAAGTGAATCCAGCCGCAGGCGCTAAGATCGGGCCCGTAGCAACCGCAGGTGGGGCTGCCGCCGGTGCAGCAGCCGGGCCTGGGGGAGCAGTCACAACTGCCAGCCCCGTCTGGTCAATCTCGTTCTGCAGGGCCGTAAGCTCAGCATTGGCGAGGCCGCGAAGGTGGGCCACCTCAGCTGCACCTAAGGCTTGTCCAATATGGCCGTCCTCGAAGCGGTACACATTCCGGCGCAGCACTCCAGGAGGCAATGAACGATCGTCCCCCAGAATAGCCACTCCGTTTATGTTAGGAATCGATAAGGGCTCGCCGTACACATCACCGTCGGGTGTTGCGATGACGCACCATCCAATTGATCTGGGGTCGCTGCTCGGCGTTGGTCTCATGATCACATACCTCTCGTGCCACTTCCGCTCCCCCGGATATTGGACTATCACATACTTGTTCTCGATTGCGAAGGCTGGAAGCACGGTGTTGTCGATATAGGAGGCCATGGTAAATTCCGAATCCAACTAGAACTCCAGCCAGAAATCCCAAGAAGACGTAAGGGCGACTTGGGCTACCGGCTTCACACTCGCAGGTGCAGTGGCAATGTTGTTCACCCGTGGGAACCACAACAGACCGATCAGCACACAGCCAATTGTTGAGTAACAAGCAGCTGGCGAGAATGAGGCCCGAAGTACTCAGGGGTTCGGGAACCATGGGATGCACTACTTCCTTTCCGCAGAGAACTCGAGAGTATATACAGCGGCAATCAAGCTGCATCAACTTCCTGCTAAGCAGACATATGCGTATCCGTGCGTCTGTCTCCAGTAGCAATAAGGAGTCACGTGTTTTCGCAGAAACGGAGAGAACCGGAAATTATCGGCAGACGAACAGACAGCCATAGAAACAGACAAGCAACGACAAAAAAACGTTCAGCAGTTCAGGTGCAGAGTACAAGTGCCTGTGCCAAGCCGCGTGCGAGGAGCTCACGAATGCCGGCATCAGTGTCGGCACTCGCCATGATAACCTGAGCTATAAGCACAATGCAGCAACTAAAGCCAAGGCTCGGAGGCTCAATCTGTGAGCCGTCACAGGAGCTCAACCCCGCAAAGCCCCCACAACCTTAAAACCCGCCAAACCCCAAACACCTAAAACCAAAACCCTCTGGAAACCAAAACAGTGAAACTTAGCGAAACCCTGAATCCTAAACCTGGAATCATGCACCGAAAACTAGCATGGAGTTCCGGGCTTCATATGCTGTGCTCTTCGGGTCAAACCTTCATGGCTTCTGTGACGGGATGGGACAGGCAGCTTGTAGCCTTTTCGCAGCCCTTCGGGTTGTTCAGTGGGAGAGTTCGTTCAGTCAGGGACTGACCTTTTTGGGATGCACCAACAAAGCCGTTGTCCTTGTCGTAACTAACGCCTTAGGAAAAAATAGGAAAGCAGAGCTGGGTAAGGACTCCATTGTTGAAGGTTTCCACATTGCTCTCTTTGTGCTGCAGAGGCAAACTGGATTGTTGGCTTAGAGTGAAGCCCAAGCATGAAGAATGCACTCACCATGGTCAGAGTGGCACAAGGCAACGCGTGCACATGTCTGGCATCAGGCTTACGGTTTTGTAGCTGCTGGGCCTCGACGTTCCCGAAGCTCACAATTCTCCATTGACAAGATGCCAGAGGCAGGCGGCACGGCTGCTTGGCAGACGCTTCCGAAAGATCCTGAGCAACTTTGGCTTGCCCTCCCTTAGAATCCGTAAAGTAACCCTTGCGAACGAAACCCTACGCACACTTACCACACCCTAAACCCTAAAATCCGCAGTCCCGAAACCCCTAAAGCTTTAAACTGAACCCTCGGGTTGAGCCTGAAAAGCTCGAAGGTAGGCGCAGTAGACACCCAGCACACAGCTGCCAGTAACGAGCTCGGCAGGAAGCGCGAACTTCACCTGAGCTTCTTTCCTTTCAGGCACTGGCATCTTGACGCGGAGCTCAGTGTGCCTCAGGACTTCTGCTTACAAGTTCCTTCTCTGCTTGTTCTCGATGTCAGCTAAGAACCAACACTGGGTGTCTTCAGTTCACCGGCGACTACACACTTTGACATAGGTATGTAGCTTCAGATCAGTCCGGGCATTGGCCTAGGTTGGATGGATTGAACTTCGTTGATCTTCAATCGTTCACCACTCTCGCTGTCCCGGTGCCCTTCAAAATCAAGCCTCCTCCAAATCCCAAACCCCAAAGAATGGACCAAAAGCATGCTGCCACCATTGGCCCCTGAACTGTCAGACACCCGAAGCAAACCTCAAGCCGGTGCGGCTGAGGTTCGCCACTGAACCCGAGTCGCTCGCCTAGCCCACCAGCTGGGATCACGAAGCAGCACTTGGAAACCTGCGGGGTAACAAAGTATGCACGTGCAGGCGTGCGACATTGCATCGCATGGACACCCCTTCGTCCTTGAAGCTAAGCCTGAACCTTAAAGTCATCCCTCAGCGCAGAAGATACGTGTACCAATAAATCAATAAACGCCACTTTCCCTAACCAGTAAACCCCTAAGCAGCCCCTCAAAAACAAACACACACGCACGCACGCACGCACGCACGCACGCACGCACCCACCCACCCACCCACCCACCCACCCACCCACCCACCCACCCACACACCCACACACACACCCACACACCCACACACACACGCACACACGCACACACGCACACACGCACACACGCACACACGCGCACACGCGCACACGCGCACACGCGCACACGCGCACACGCGCAAACGCGCACACGCGACCCACGCGCACCCACGCAACCCCACACACCCACACACAACCACACACCACACACACACCACACACACACACACACACACACACACCACACGCACACGCACACGCACACGCACACGCACACGCACACGCACACGCACACGCACACGCACACGCACACGCACACGCACACGCACACGCACACGCACACGCACACGCACACGCACACGCACACGCACACGCACACGCACACGCACACGCACACGCACACGCACACGCACACGCACACGCACACGCACACGCACACGCACACGCACACGCACACGCACACGCACACGCACACGCACACGCACACGCACACGCACACAATTTATAAAGAACATAACAAACCCAAAACCCGAACCTAAACCCTGACATCTCTTTAATCCCCCCAAACTGCGTTTTCCTCCGCCTCCTTCGCCCCGAACTCCTCGTAGGCCAGGAACTCCGCAGAGCCCACTTCCGGTTGGAAGCCGTCCTCGGCTCTTTGTCGGTTTAGGGTTTAGGGTGTGGGTACAGGGTGTGCGGTGGGTGCGGTTTAGGAATCGGGGCGCACCCACTTATCACGAGCTTGCGTCAGCATGTAGTCCCGCGCCAACCACCCCAACTATTCTGATTTGGGGGCTCAGGGTTCACCCCCCCAACCCCGAAAGGAGCTTTCTTTCTCTCTGCTTGCCTTCGCAGTTCGCCACAACATCGGCCACATTTCACAGCAAACCACAGCTGAGATGGATTAGTGTCGGGTTGCTTGTTGGGAACCCGTGCTTCCGGTCGAGCGGCCGCTCGAAGAGGTTGGGGCCCATGCACCAAGCAAGAGTGGTACCCGGCATTGCCAACCCCGAAAGCCTCACAAAAAGCCCTGAAAAGCCCCTGAGCCCGGCTCGAAGGCGCTGGGCGCCAAGACCGGCCGAAAAAGTTGGGGCAAGCCACGCCCTCCGGCCAGGCCCCGGGTCCCTGGAATCCAGACCCCCCGCAACGGTCGTGGGTTTGGGGTCTTTCTATTGCCTGACGGCAGAGGAAACCGAAAAAGCCAAGCTTCTTGTGGCACAGATGGGACCCATCCATCCAAGGGATTCTCCCCGCCGGCAGACGCCTCGGGCTCTGGGACAGCAAGGTTTCGGCTTTTGGGCTCCAGGGCTTTAGAGAGTTCAGGCGGGTTCGGGGCTGGGATGTTGCGGAGAAGTGCAGTTGCAGTTTGCTGCTTTGGGGCCTCCCACATTTGACTTGCCGCAATAACTCCAGTTACAAGCTCACATCCAAATTGGCTTCGAAACCTAAAGAAAGAAAGGCCGCAAAAGGATGCTTGCAGCCTTGGTAGAAACGTGACACTGCTCCCTAACCACCAAAGCTTGAAACCCAAGACCCTAAACTTTACGAAGCCCTAAGAAGGGCTTGCATGAGTAGCATGCTGCACCCGGCGGCCTGGAGCAGTGTCAGAGCATTCCGCAAGTAGCTGCCCAGTCCGCCTCCATGAGGAGCATTCAGCACTCTTGGGCTTAGTAGGGTTTAGGGTTTGGCTTAAGGATTGGAGGGCTCTAGACAGGTCCGAAGGGTCTAAATCAGCTGTTCTGCATGCTGGAGGTGTGGCACATTCTGGCATTCAAGGCCGCCCCATCTTTATCCTCTCATGGCCACTCAGGAAGCTACAGTGACAGGCTCTTGGATGTAGGGCGAACCAGGCGCCGTAATCTCAATGTGAGCTCAGACAGTACTCTCGCTCTTCTCGCAGCTACGCATGCTTTTCGGCCATTCGCTTAAAGCATTTGCATCTTTTCGAGACTTAAGACTTGCAAAGCTAGAAACAAGGCTCCCACGTGAAGGACCATCTCATCGTAACAAGGGAAGAAACCCCTCCAGGGCGTTTTGTGGAATCGCCTCATGGGCTGGAGAGACATTGACGACAGCTACACCACCGGACTGCCGAAACGATACTGACATTGTCCCAAACTGCTTCACTGTTGCCGGATTGCGGGGGTCTGTTGCACATAAGCTCACAATGCAAGCAAAAAGGCTTAGGGTCTAGCAGGCCGGGAGCAGCATCGGACACTACACCCAAGACACTCTAAACCTGGAACCTTAGACCATTCAATCCCCAAACCTAAAACCACTGTGCAAAGTTCCGGGTCTTGGGGAAGACGTGAAGTTGGAAGTTTCGATGTTGGGATAGCTTGGGGCTTGCCCCTCTGCCCTCGAACCCTTCTTCAACCCATGCCTGAATATGACTGAACTCGCTTACTCTTCGAAGGGCACCTACCCCCGCCCTGAAAATGAGTCCTGAAGTTGCAAGCAGCTGATACTACTGTCTGCGGTCAAAGACTTCGCAATGAAGCCCAGATCCTCAATATGAGCCCCGAAGCCCAAAGCCACCAGCCTGGATAGTTCTTGTCCAACGTCCGGATCTGGTCGAAGAACTGAAGCTTCTCCTGGGCTCGGGAGAAGGATAGGTGGTTTGTTTGAGCGTTCAGTGTTTAGGGTGACGTTCCGGAACTAGGGCACTGCGGATTGAGTGATGTGTGGCTTGTACAGCTTTGCATGCGCAGGTCTTCTGCTATGCAAAGAGCGTGCCTAGCACATGTCGCAGTTGAGCAGGGCTGAGCACACATTTTTTCAGAATAAACGAACAAAATCACAGGTCATAATCTGAATGAATCTTACTGCCTGCCAAATGATCTACTCTGCAACAAATCTTCGCATGCCAGGCCTAGTTTTTGAAACCTAAACCAAGCCCTACCTAAGCCGTCCACCCCGCGATACAATCACAGCGCAGGCGTGGCACCGCATCACAGGTCCCCGGCGGGTCCCAAGTGCCGAAGATCGCAGCTTGGCCTGCTTTCACTGGCTTAGGGCCTTGAATGTTTAGGGCTTCGGGCCTTTAAGCCTTTAGGGCCTTTAAGGTTTAGAGCCTTTACGGTTTAGGGCGTTTAAGGTTTAGTGTGCATGGTTTGGGGTTTTGGATTTCGTGATTAGAGTCTGGGTCTCTACGAGGGCCCTGTCAGGCTCTGAAAAAGTCTCTAGGGGTTCGAGACGAATTCCGATGTGGTTCTAACGGTTTCAGGAGGGCTCTCCACAAGGGCTCCAAAACTGATCTCTTCTAGAGTTTAGTGTGTCGACTTGAGGCTCATGGATCAGGATCAGACAAGAGGTTGCAAAGAGTTCTTGAAGACGAGGTTGATCTTGAAAGAGCAGGGTTTAGGGGTTAGGCTTTAGGTTTTAGGGTTTCGGGTGCTCGACACCGGAAATGGAGCCCTGCAGCGGGGGAAACGCTTGCAGTGGGTTGAAGAGAATTGTCCAAGCTGCCCTTTGTGGGTCCTGTCTTCTTTTCCATCGCCATGGTCAGCATGGCAAAGACTATCACGATCATCATCACCATCACTACTACCGATGCAACGCAAGCTTCGCATCATCGGCATGCGGACTTGCAAAACACAAAGCTGTACTACATTCACTGATCCGATTTCGGGATCTGACTGTAGCCCCTGTCTTGTTGATCTTGCTACTTCAAAGCTTCGGGCTTAGGGCTTCGTGGGTTCAATGCATGCGAAGTTGCGAAGGGTCGTCGATTGGCTCAGGCTTTGAAATACCTGGAGGGCCGCTGGGGGGTTTTGGGTTTAACAGCTGTTTCGCACCGCGAACAATAATTCCGAAAGCTGGTTGTCCTGAAGTGAGCCCTTCCGACCAGCTGCCATGGCCTGCCGCCACCAGACGCGCAGCGCACGCGCAGTTCCTCAAGAAGAAAACGTAAACGTTAAACCCCAAAACCTGAAAAACCCGTAACCCGGCCCTACACCCTAAGTTAAAATTACAAGCTGTAAATCCCTAGGACCTTAAACCTTGACCCCAACATGATTCGTAAATCCTCAGGACGCTGGAAATTGTGCAACAAAACCTTACCAGCCGGAGAAGAGCTTATTGCTTCGGGGAAGAAGGCTCTGACTTGGGACTTTGTAGAAATATGTCACACGGGACGCTCATGAACACAATCGCCGCTCAATGGCCAGGGACGAAATCGGTTGATACCTGTTCGAATCCCTTTTGCCTGAACCCGACGCTTTGAAACCCGAACCGAACTGCAGGCCACCCCTCACAACCTCGGGCTATCCGTTTGGAGCTGCTAAATGAATATGAAGGATATGTGAGCGATAAAAACAAAACAAATCATTGAGGACTCCTATATCATAGAACCTTTGTAGGAACCCATATACAATGTACCCTTCAAGACCTAACCCTGCGACCAGGAATCTCCTCTCCCAAGACATCCTGGAAGCTGAGAATTCAAGGTGCGCGCGTGTCGTTTAGTTGTTTTTGGCCGTGATGTTTGGGCTTGGAGGTGTGCAGTTTGGGGCTCAGAGTGGTGAAGTTACTAAGACCGGGGCTTGCAGAACTAAGCCCAACACCGTAAAACCTGAACCTAACCTTACCATCTAATCCCGACGAAGCAAAAACTAAGCCTGAACAAATAAGCCTAAACCTGAACCCTAAACCCAAAAACTAAACCCAAAACCCTAAGAACCCAAAGTGCATACCCTACCAACTAAACCCTAGACCGAGTAGGGTGCCGGGCATGGAGCTGTGAAGCCTTGGTTGGATCCTCTAATGTTCATCGGGACTTCGAGTTACTGCTTTGGGGGTTTAAGATAAGGTTTGGAATTTAGGATTTAGGGTTTAGGGCTGAAGGTATGCCGGATATGCGGGCTTCACGGTTGAGACCGCTTCCACTGACATCTTGAGTGTGCGGTGGAGGGTTTATGATTTAGGGTTAAAGGCGTGTCTCATCAGGACACCCGCTGCTTCGAGAAATAAAGTGGAAGCTCCATGCTGGCAACTCTGCAGGTAAGGGCCTTGGATCAAAGCGTAGGGCGGCTTACTTGCGAATATTGCCAGGAAGTCTCCCTAAATCCCGAAACAACAAAACAAAGCCCTAACATTCCAAGAACACATGCCCCTAAACTCCAAAATCCAAACTGCTAAATCTAGGCCCATGATTTCAGAGATCTGAAAGCGAATCCCCATATGAAAGCACAGACAAAGTAATGACGCTTATGTGAAGCCTAACGGCGAAACCCAAAAAAAAAAAAAGAAACTTTCCGAAAATTAGGGGTACATTTTCTGGGGTTCCTTATAATCAGGTTCCTACTGTTATTTTCGGAAACTCCCAAATAAGTCTTGGCCATCCCGAGGCGCGCGATTTTCTGCCAAGCCGGCAACTCCTGAAATGTCTGCTGTTGTGGCCATGGCTCTCCATGAAGAGAACAGCTACGGCCGGCAGTGGTGAGTGCTTGAAATTCCAAGCTTGGGGTTCTGCGAGCGGGGCTTCAAGTGGTTTAGGTCTCTGTGACACGGCTTACCAAATGTTCAGTGTTAGACTAGAACAGAACATAGTATATACATAATCTAACATAGTCTATTCTGGGTGTTGGGGGTGCTACAGCTTGCCGGTCTGAGATGTCGATGCCCTGCGTGTCTTGCAGGACTAGTGACGGTCAGCCGTACAGGTTTTCCGTATGCCAACATTCGACGTACTAGAGCTACTGCGAGTTACAAGAAAGCAACTTAGAGCGCCAGCAGCTCCGGGCATCGGCAGCTCCTGCAAGTTGGGTTTACGGACTTATGCATGCTGCATGCCTCTTGGTGGTCTTGGAACAAGTTCACTTCTAGTGGCGCGTGCTGCAAAACCTAAACCCTAACCAGGAAACCCTAAATCCCAAGACCCCAAAATAACCCTAAACTTGAAACACAACCCTACACTGCTCCGAATCGGAAGTCCACGTTCAAACCTAAATCACCTGTTTAGTCTTGGAGGTTCGGGCTCTGGGGATCTTTAGGTTTAGGGTTTACGGTTTAGGAGCTTTGGGCTTTGGGTCTGGTGCTTCATCTCCAAGAAAATCCTAAACCCAGGATTTGGGGTTCCAGCTCTGCCACCTCCGATAGGGTTTTGGCATATTTTGGTGGACTTACGAGACGGTTGAGGATTTGGGGTTGAATCGCTGCGATCCCAATGATACCCAAAAAGCCAAACGACTGTGCGTGCAGGCGTTGGCAAAAACACCGAGATCCAAACCCACAAATCACATTCGTAACGTACCGTAAGCCCTGATTCCTGTCCCACGAACCATGAGCCCTAGAGCCCGGCACCCCGAGCCCCAAAACCCTAAACCTAAAACCCCCGTTCATACCCGCATAAGATCCTTATAAAGCGCTCAAAACATACCAACCGCAGAGCACTGCGACGTCCGAATGCTGGCGCCAGGCCAGCGGGCTTAGGGTCTAGGGTTTGGTGTGTAGGGTTTAGGGTTTAAGGTAGAGCTTAGGGCATCGTGTTTCTAGACTTTTTATCGGGAATTATGGACCGCCTTCTGGTTCCAAAAGCAAATTCCAATGGTTTTGCCCAAGGTTGTTGAATTTAAGCCACTACGTTTTTGTTTAACAAATGTCTTCGGTTTCCCAGGGGTTCTACAGATGCTTCGTAGTGGTTCCAGGTTGTTTTTTTGGGGGGGCTGGGGGTTTAGAGTCTAGGGTCGAAGGTGTAGGGCTGTATGGTTGTCGGATTTTGGCGGATTTCTGCCAGGACGTTGGGTCACTCTCCACATACAACGTGTCGCACAGATGCCGGCACCCGTCGCAGCTTCTTGCAAACTCCACGAAGCATCTTGAGGAAGTCATTCTGCTTCCCATGAACGATGAATTGAGATTTAGCCGGCCAGTTCCAAGGCGCAAAGGAGCCGCCTTTCACCAACATTATTTCTTTGTGATGATAGGGCAAGAAGCAATAATTGAAGGCTCCTTGGTCAGACTTGAACGTCGCTAGATCGTAGCTCATCAAACAGTCGCCTCTAAATCGGGCACCAAGCCAAGTGTCAAGATATTTGAGCTTCTCATCCCTGTAACGAGGCAGCCAAAGGAATAAGGCACCAATGTTGCATCCCTCGTTTTTCTTCCACCACTTTGTGCCAGCTGCTTTCTCCAAAGCATGTTTCCGATTTTTGATACATCGGTCCACCTCGTGGATGCACTGCTCCTGCCCGCGATAGCTGCAAGTGGTTGTGCCATCGGCTTTGCAGATGTCCTCGGAAACGGTAATCATCTTCTTCCCTGGCAGGGGTTCGGACTCGCAGATCGCAACCCACTCGTCTCCATCTGCATGATACCTTTCTCTCAGGGTACTCAACAAATCCTCCCCCCAATACTTCGGGTTAACAGTGGCATCATGGTCCAAAATGAGCACCCATGGACTGCGAATGTATTCCTGCCGCACGGCCTCTTGGAGGCCCCATGGCTTCACCCATCCGGCACCCAACTTTGTTCGCCAACATGGAATGCTCAAACCCACAAAATCCAAGCCGTGCTCCAAAGCATATGCGAAATTAAGGGTGAGGCAGACTTTCGCAATTTTCTGGCTTAGAATGTTGGCTGTGGTGCTCATGAAAACAACTGCCGTTGGCGACTTCTGAGCGTGGTACACTACCATATGGTAGTTGCCCCATGCTCCCAACATGTAAGGCAGGGTGGACACATTTCCTGCATTGACAATTAAGGACGAAAGGTTGAAGCGCTCTGCCCAATCACTTTCCTTTGTATGCAACCTGCCCACCGTCTTCAAAGGCATGGGCAAAGTGGCTCCGCCCAGGAAATCCAACTTAGGGCAACCAACAAATGCAACAGAATGAGTCGTCGTCGACAAGGCAGAGCTCGTCGTGATTTCATCCGTCGGGACAGCGGTAGTGACTGGCTTCTGGACTTCTCTGTTTGCGGAGTCACGTGATGCAACAGCCACTTCCCTGACTCCTGCTTCCAGAAACGTATCTAACGTGGCAGTCGGTCCCTGCATCCGCAAAAGCTTTGGCAGTTCGTGCATAAAGGAAGGTTGTCGCCAGATCTGGACAAGCCCAAATGGAAGCACAACGCATGCTGCAGTAGCCACCAAGCGGCGTGCCCAGCACTCCATGCGAGGATTCGGATGCCCGTCGGGAAAACATGCCCCACTCCTAACAACTTTTAAAACACAATGTCACCATTCGGGCTGCCATGACGTTTGAAGCAAGCGGAAAAAAGGTAAGACTGTAACAGCTGAAACCTTGAGCCTCAAGTTTAACAAACTCAGCGGATCCAAAAGCACCTCCGCGACTCTGTGCCGTGCCGGGGCGACTTCCCATCTCAGCACTTCCAGGATCAACACGCACCATGCTTGATTGCTAGAACTCGCATGGTCATTCCAGCACGGGGACGAACTTTTCTTCCTCGAGTGCCAAATTATTTCCCAACATTGGGCTTCAAACTCTGGGGCTGGATTGGGATGGTTGACGTGCGACCCAAGCAAGCGCGAAATTCTTCAACTTTTCTGCAAGAGCACTTGCTCAAAGCCATCTACTTGACGAAAGCAATCAAACAGCCTCCCAGCGATCAAAAATCTCGAAGTACTTCCATGTCTTGAATGCTCCGACGGCAGATGTTTTCGAACACATGATCTACGTTCCCGAGCAACTCCTGGCAGATTTCTTGCCAATCAATTTCACGGCCACCGCTAAGCACGCGAATCTGAAATGCCCGCAACTCGAAACAACGAAGTAGCAACACAATCGTTCGTTATTGTACGCATATACACAAACAGTACATATATACCTAAATACATATATACATTGTTACAAATAGACAAATCTAGAAAAAAAATACAAGTATATAGTTATGCAAATTTCCATATATACATGCATACAAGCATATATACATATACGTATACACATATGTACAAGTATGCATTTTTACATGTATACATATATACATATGTACATATCTACATATCTACATATATACATATATACTTACATATCTATATACATATCTACATACCTCTATACCTATACACCTATATACCTATATACCTATATACCAAAAAAACTATATACCTATATACCTATATACGTATATACCTGTATACCTATATACCTATATACCTGTATACCTATATACCTATATACATTTTTGTGAATATGCATATATGTACATATATACGTATATACATATATACATATATACCTATATAAATATGTATATATATATATATATATATATATATATATGTATATATGTATTTGTGTATATATGTATATATGTATATATGTATATATGTATATATGTATATATGTATATATGTATATATGTATATATGTACATATATACATATATACATATATACATACATACATATTTACATATATACATATATGCATATATACATGTATACACATATACATATATACATATATACATATATACATATATACATATATACTATATACGTGTATACATATACGCATATACACATATACACATATACACATATACACATATACACATGTACACATATATACAGATATACATATATACATATATACATATATACATATATACATATATACATATATACATATATACATATAGACATATAAACATATGCACATATAAACATATATACATATATACATCTTTCTTTCATACGCTGCAGAAGAGACCCGCTTGGCGAGGCTGTTATGACAGGGAGCCACCCCGGCTGCTGTGAGCCATGTGCGATTACACACGTCGGTGTAAAACGTGCTGAGCAATCAGAGCGATGACATAGGACCTGCCACGAATGGCCCGTTGCGTCCCAGACACGCTCAAGACACCTTGCTTTCGGATCATCCATCTTCCAACGACCATGCCCTGAACATGTGCAACCATGAGTATCGGCTGATTGCCATCATAATGCACGAGGGTGCCGCTGCCACTTCCGGTCATTACCGTGCGATCCTGTGCTCCTATCCACCTGATATGGAGCCCACCTTCTGAAAATGCGACGACGGAAAAGAGCCAATCGTTCAGTCTGCGCTTTCGCCTGACGCGCTGACTACGGGCTACCTTTACTTCTATTGCCACATCTTGCAATCAGAACACGACGCTCGGGTATGACACAAGTAGTGTCCTTGCTTCCATCCGTCGAAATGCAAAACCGGTTCAGCTGCGCAAAGCCAAAAGAGCCGGCTCACTATCAAGAGGAGTGAGCCCTGCAGCAGCTTGATCCTTCCAGGCATGGATGAGGCATTGTACCATCACGGAAAGCACAAAGCTGAGAAGGAGCTGCTGCCAGTGAGCACGAGACTAGCAACCATGTAGAAGCGACTATTGGAGAGAGGACCAGAGGTCAGACTCAATGAAGGCAGCGTCACGGTTGGCATAGCAATGATTGGACGAATTGCAAATGCGGAGCAGCAGAAGCTTTGGAGTGGACAACAGAGGAGGCCCTTCCAAGCATCCTAGAGAACAGCTTCCGGAATTGGATCCGTAATTCGAGCGTTCTTTTGGCCCATGTGTTGCAACGATGTCCGACGTGGAAGCACCTCCTGTTCCTCCCCCTCGAAGAGTGGAGTTGCCGCAGGAGTGTAGAACGTCCTTCGTAAATAAATGGTCCTTCCTCGTCTGCCTGTTGCTAGGAGACTTTGTCCGCCCGTCTGGCCCGCCTGCGACAGGAGCGTCAGGATGCAAAGGTGTGGTATTGTCTGCGTGTCTACAAGATGTCTTGATTGTCTTTCGTCCAAAGCAGGTAGAAGCGCGCAGAGTCGCTAAGATCCTGAAAGCAGAGCAAAAACGACTTCGCAAGGCATGGTTCTGTCTGCTGCCCCGTCGAATGTAGATGTTTGAACTTGCCCAGGCCAAAACAGTAGCACGGCAGCTTTCTGAATCGCAGTAATTAACCCTTGTCGTTTCTCACACGATGGCGCGAATGTTTTAACGCGCATTGAGCCCGGCACTGAGAGTGATCAGCGGTCAGTGAGCTTCGCTGTCGCCTCTCTGGTGTTGAACTGTTGCCCCAGCAGCGAGTATCTGTTGAGCAGTGACTAAGCTCTGCCAGCTTTGAGTACGTGAGTCAGTGAGTGTGAATGAGTGAGCTTTGCTGCGACGAACGGCTGCCTGCAGCGCGTAAATTCTTCTTCGGTGTCGGGTGAGCAGTGACCAAGCTTCGCTCTTTCTTTTCCAAGGGAATGAATGTTTACGGCTTTGAGCCCGGCGCTGAGAGTGGTCAGCGGTGCGAGCCCTGCCGAAGCAGTGGGTGAGAGAGCTTGGCTGTGACCCGAACTGTTGCGTGGCAGCTAGTAACTTCTTCGTCTTCGGTTGAGCGTGAGCGGTTCAGCAGTGTGCAAGCCTTGTCTGAGGCAGGGCACGAATGTTTTACGGGCTTTGAGCCCGGCACTAAAAGCGATGACTCTGCGGAGTGGGGTTTGCCATCTGGCAATGAGGTCTGCCATCTGAGCCAGTGAATGTATGAGCATTGCCCAAACTGTTGCCTGAGCAGCTGGTAAACTTTCCGGCTAGTCAGTGACGAAGCCTTGCTTTGACGTAATCCCAGCCTTCTTTCTCTGAAGGCCACAAAACGTGGTTGCGTTGCGGTGTAGGGTTTAGGATGAGTAAGTGAGCTGTCTTAGCGAAGAGAGCTTGGAGACGGGACACCCGACCCGCAAAGGATCTAGCGTACACGTCGGACCCCTCGGGTTTCCAACGCCCTAGCAGATCCTTATCCTGCGGGGGGATCTCCTTTAGCGCCAACCCTGTTGGTAGCACTGAGCGCTCACTGTGCTCCGTCCAATAGCCCTGGACCTCCCGCGGGTAGCCCATGATAGCCAGCAGCCCCGCGGTTGCCACCATAGCGTCCGCATAGGTAGCCATCTTCTTCTCTAGCTGCCCCGCCCGGCCCAGCCGCGGCATGAGGTAGTCCCGGGCGTAGTGTGGGCAGCCAAAACTCTTTGTTGACATCTAGCAGGTTTTCCGAATGCACGAATGTGAGCCCGTCATATCATGCTCATTCGCTTCTGAAATGTTGAGCCTGTTGCAAGGTCGAAGCTGAGCGCCGTAGTCTTTTACGTAGAGCAACGCGCAGCATGGGAAATCTGGATCCGAAATTGTCCGCTTGCAGAAAGCTAGGACAGGCAGACTCTACTGATCCGCCGCAGTTTGATTCGAGATTGTATGCTGCAGGGTGTGAGGATACAGACGAGGGAACCTGAACGAGCCCAGAGGTGGCGGGCAAATGATTTCACCCTTAGGACAAAGCCGGTGGTATAATACTCAGCTGCCAACTGAGTTTGATTGACTCCGGCATGTCTGGGACCTTCCACCGTTCTAATAGTGTTATACTACCCAAAGGGTGTGTAAGTGGGTTCCCTTGGTTTTTGCAGCAGATGGGGTGGGTTCCCTGTGGGTTCCCTTGTTTTTTGCAGCACTTCAGGTGGGCTACATATGGGTTCCCTTGTTTTTTGCAGCATTTCGGGTGGGTCTGTGTATGTTCTTCATTTAGCTTTCTTGTAGATTCCCATGGTTTTTGCAGCATGGACGGTGGGTTCCCTGTGGGTTCCCTAGTTTTTGCAGCATTTTTAAGTGGGTTCCCATGGTTTTTAACAATATCGACGGTGGATTCTCTGTGGGTTCCCTTGTTTTTTGCAACACTTCAGGTGGGCAACATATGGGTTCCCTTGTTTTTTGCAGCATTTCGGGTGGTCTGTGTATGTTCTTCACTTAGCTGTCTTGTAGATTCCCATGGTTTTTGCAGCATGGACGGTGGGTTCCCTGTGGGTTCCCTAGTTTTTGCAGCATTTTTAAGTGGGCTCCCATGGTTTTTCACCGTCGATACGGTGGGTTCTCTGTTTGGTTCCCGGGTTTTTGCAGCATTTGAAGTGGGTTCCCATGGTTTTCCAATAGGCTCTTTTGGCTTTTGCAGCATGTCAGCTGGGTTCCCTGTGGGTTTCCTAGTTTTTTGCAGCATTTTTAATGGGTTCCCATGGTTTAACAGCATCGACGGTGGGTTCCCTGTGGGTTCCTTGCTTTTTGCAGCATTGCAAGTGGGTTCCCATGGTTTTCCCAGCATATATTGCGCAAAGGTCTGGGCGGGCTCCCTTGGCTCTTGCAGTGTGTCAGCTCGGT